AATAAATTCACTTGCTGCTCGAACGCACGCGAACGAATCCTCGCGCTCGCCAGTTTAAAGACGCGCGGTTTCGCGTATTTTTATTACGTAAACATAATTTTTCGGATATCGAAATAGAAACATCTTGATGGAGCGTATGAGTAAAAATCATCTTGTTAAAAATTTAATTAAAAAAAATTAAATTCTATTATTTTATTACAGAAGCAACTATGGCTTGATTATCATTCGCGGTATAAAGAAAAGAAGGCAAAAGATGCGATGCAATTGTCATTCTTTTGATTAATATCGAAATTATTCAGTTTTGCTTAGATGCTATAAGTTTCACATAATGTTTGAATTTTGAACAAAACTTCTTTCTTCATGTTTAATGTTCTTTCGTAATTTCCCTCGAAGCATCAAAGAATGTAGATCGAAAATTGTGCAAGTGACAGGATCTACCAACAATACCCGGGCCAACCAGGCGAGATCATTGTACTTATCTCGGATGTCGTTAAAGTAAGATTTAAAGCGAGTCGACTACAATGTTGCGCCCACGGGAAGCAAATTGGCATGAAAATTGCAACGAGCTGACGAGAATCCGAACAGGATTCGAGCATCGACAATAAAGACGAGTTTGCGGCCATCGAGATGGCCCATAGTCGATGAAAGTCGAGAAGGTGTTACGATATCTCTATTAGCACATCGAGATTTAAGTTGCCCGATGCAATAAAGCCTTAAATCTACCACACAAGAATTATTTCCATTTCCGTAGTACGCTCAAATCTCATTTCCAATTTTGATTGCATCTGTTGCGCGATACTTTTAATATAAAGATTATTAATTAATAAAAACACATTAAAAAATAAAATACAATGAAGAAATGATGCAGCTACCTTCAGCTGTTTGTAATATGTAATTTTTAAGTTATATAACATAAACTTATAATAAACTTTTCATGTATTTCTATTTCGTATGTTTTGCATTTAATCTTTGTTGAGCACGCGATGGCGTCTCCTCCTTTCTTGTAAATGTTTTTAAAAAAGTCGAAAATTTTCAACGTAGTAATATCCTCAGGTTGATGGTAACAAGAAGCTGAATTGAAACGATCTCGTCCGGTGGATCCCAACGATCCAGCTAACCTCAAGAGGAGCGTTTAGGATGATTAACTTTCACCGCGGCGTGTCGGTGAGCGAGGCTTCCGGTGCACGCGCGCGCGCGCGCGCGCGCCATTGTCAACGACGTTCTTACTAGGGCGACGTGATTTCGCGCGCGTCGTCGCGGCCTTTGTCGCGACATGCACGACACCATCAGCGACATCGTGTCGTGCCGTCCTCGCCGATATTCATCCGCGTAGGCGTTTAATGATGGGTTCCGCCGGCGGGCGTCGTGTGTGCGTGTCCGCCGTGCATGCACGCCGTGCAACCCCGTGGCGGAGAGGTGTCGTCGTATGGGAATAGAATGCAAGAGGGAGGGGGAGAATCCGTCGCGACGTGGTCGCGAATTCCGACCCGCCTCCATAGGCCTCAAATATCACGATCGACGACCCTGAAGTGACACCAACACGGTGAACCTCCGTCGTTCATCCGGTTCTCTCGGAGAGACCTCGTTGAGCAACGAGCTGGGCGCGAATGAGCGCTGCGAATATATAAATTTCGAGCGCAGAAAATCAATGCACGATACAATACGAGACTCTGGATAAATGGTAAATCGCCATTTCTTTTTCTCTTTCTTTTCTTCTTTTTTTTATATATAAGAATGCGATGGAGGTATGAGGCGTTATACATTGTGCGCAATTTTGTGACTATGCAGAATTGCCAGGAAGATTCCATTGTCGATGCAATTCGTTGTAACGACGGCTCATTCGGAGCGACATCGAGCATTGTAACGAGTTGCACGAGCGGCCGGCTTTCAACGTCAGCGACATGACGGCGGCCGCGTGCCGAGTTGAAGGCCAAAATTTGTGCGGATTGCAACACTCGCCGTGCGAGAGAATTGCCGACGAAACGGACGAAACGACACGACATTTAACGGAGAAAAGCAGCGGCGAGGGATCAGAGAGCGTCTTTTTGTCCGGCAACAAGAGAGTCGCAAAAAAGTCATTAAACCATGAAACCGGGGAAGGCTCTTCGAGAGTGGCTCACGTTTCTCCGCTTCTTCTTCCTTTTTTTTTTGTTTTTTTTTTTCCTTAACTCTTTTTCATCCCGTCGTAACGCTCTGACCAGGTAACTGTGTCAGGACCGTTGTGCCCGAGATCACCGACGGTTGCGCAATCAAGGCGAAGCATGGAGATCCACGAGGATCCGATGATCTAAGGTCTCGAGGTCTCGTGTACACCGGCCTCCTCGATTTACTCTCCGTGCTTAGTTTCTCGGGCAACCTAAAGCTAAGGAGCTAACTAGAGACTGACCCAGAAAGTAACTTGGATAAAATTTCCGCTAAATACACCGGCACAGAAGTGACCGGAACAAATTGATAGTAGGAATCCTAAAAAATTATTAAATGTTAAATAAAAATTAAATACTAAAATAATACGAAAAAATATATATGTTTTTCATAAATTTCTGTACACATTTAATTTCGTCAATGTATTTTCCCTCTAAGATTTTGAATGACTCGAATATCATATTATTCATAGAAAACCGCGAACATCGCGATTGATTATATTCCGTAAGTCTACAAAAAATCAAATCCTTAAAGTTTTTCCTTGAAATATGATAAAACAAAGATAAATAACTTAAATAATCAATAAATAACTATGATTAATATAATTAATGCTGTTCCTCTTCGCATAAAATTTATATTTACAATGTTTCCAAGACAAAATTACATGATCTCAAGAAAAGATTCAAGTTAAAAGACCGATCTTCAAAGAAGAAAAGAAGGAAAAATTGAAGATATTTAAATCAGGATATGACGGAATAATAACGAGCTGATCCAGTCCTAGGACAACCGGATTGTCATCGTGGAGAACCAGGAAGTACCGGATCACATAGTAGAGCTACTACAGTTGCAGAGGTGAATTAGCTATCGGGAAGTGAGAAACGAAATGGAAATACCGCGATGATGAGAAACGATCCTTAACGGTGAGTTCACTCAGAAGGAAAATGAGAAAATGAGAACTGAGATACAATTGCGCCAACACCGAAATCGAAACGCAGCGGACTGAGCAGGAAATCAATGGATAAAGTGACGACGAGATAACTAAGTAAGCCGCGTAACCAAACCGAAGGTATATAACTTGGAAGCTAGCGATACAATACAGGGAGGCTCTCAGGCCTATCGAGTATCCTTTCAGTCGCAGACAGTACGATAAATTCGGGACCGATTTTACCAGAACTTTACTGCTGACATTCGCTGATATTTATTAGGCGTGATATTATTTTGTAAATGAAAAATAATTAAATTTAATCTTTTGGTATAATAAATAAATAAATAAATAAAATTCAATACAAATAAATAAAAAATGAAATAACCGAGGATATGTACAACAAAAGTTGTCATCAATAATACTCTATTTTTTTGTATAATACGCGAGACGTTGTTTGAGTAAAAGATTTTTTTTTAATACTAAAAAAATAATATAACAAAACAATTGCTAAAAAGAATCGCTAATAATCACTTAGAAATGCAAATTATTAAGATTTATTTGTATGTGTGTTTGTTTCTTTGTTTGACTCTCATATAAATCGCACAAGTGTTATCGAGACAAACGCGGCGAACGCGCGGACGAGGAAGAAGAAAAAGAACAAGAGGGAACCGAAGAAGGAATATACTCGCGAGCGATGGAGCGATAGGGTGTCGATACAGTTGCAAAGGTGAATTAGTTGTCTGGGAGGTTGCACCGCGAGTAACGATAGAGAAGAGATAGTGACTGTGTTCGATACTCTTCGTCCCGTCCCTCCCTCCCTCTCTCTC